ATAAATTAATAATTCTATAAAATTATAAATATAAGCAAGACATGTTAGTAAAATACGATTCTATAAAATTTAAGTGACTCGAGTACATAAGTTTCATCGTCTCTCTTACCTTCTCCAAAATTATCTCTTCAAACATGTTTACACTTTCTTGGTGTTGAAGAAATCACTCATAAAGAATCTTCTTCATCTTTGGATATTTTGCAGGTTTGTATCTCTTGGTATCCCCTAATTTTTCTAAGCTAGCTAAAAGATACTCAAATGATCACTTGAGTGTGTTTGATATTGTACCTTTACTAGCTTTTAAATAAAAATTTCTATCAATCCACTGTTTCATGTGGGATGATATCTCTGATACTCACATAATACTTTACCTATTTGATCTATCATGATTGGTTTTAGGACACATTTTAGATGTGAAGTAATGGTTGGTTGGTTTTGATTTGGATTGACTAATAAAAAATGTTTAATGTTGCTTATCCAGTGGTTGATTTTCTTACCATATATGAACTTGCATTAACTTTTAACTAGTACTATGTAGTGCAATAAACTTTTCTTTTTTAGGATATGTATTATATATAATTAGTCACATTGCATATGAACATCATTCAATTAGTCAATCCAATGTATATGTTTTATTCATGAAGAATAATATAGGTTCGTTGAATAAAAAAGATTCTCTTCAAATTAATAAAATTATAAATTTATCAATCAACTAATATGTTTTTAAATTAATAAAATTACGTGATTTTGATATTATTAATTTATAGAAGCTTTATTGCAATTAAGACTAATATAATTATGAGATAAATCATACTCAGAAGAGAAGAAGAAGAAGAAGAAGAAGAAGAAGAAGAAGAAGAAGAATACAAGGGTTTGTTTGGGTTTAGAAAATATAGGCTATTTTCATTTTCATTTTATTAGAAAATAGAAAATATTGAAGAAAAATGTTTGGTTGTAAAATTGAAAAATGGTTTCTAGAAAATTAAAACAAAAAAACTGAAAAATGAAAATATAAAAATAAAATAAAAAGTGTTTTCACTATTTTCATTAAAATTGTTTTGAAAATTTCAAAATTTCAAAAATATGATATCTAGAATTTTAACTTAATTTACATAAGTTTAAATCATTCTAACAATAATTTTTTGATTTAATGATATTTGAAACCCTCAAACTTCTGTAAAAATCAATATGGTCCCTAATTCTTTTTCTACACTCAATGTAAACTTTAAATGAATTTTTTTAATAATTTAATTTTGTAATATTTTTATATTTAATGTATTGAATATCTTAATAATTCTTTATATTTTTAATCTAAATATTTATTTAATTTTTAAAAATTAAATAATTCCTCAAACTTTCTAAAATAATCAATTAAGTTCATCTACCACATCATCGCCATCGAGTATCGCCACAACAATATCGTGAACTATCACATCAATATTGTAGATTGCCATGCAAGTTTGAGAACTGTCATATAAGTTTTGTGATGATCAACGTTTAATTCCGCTATTTAAAGGGTTAGATTTTTTTTTTCTAAGTTTAACGATCATATTTGGTACAAAAACAATGTTCAGAGACTGCAATAATTATTTTTTCTCAAATTTTGAGGGTCTCATTTACTACTAAACATATTTTTTATGTTAATGACATTTTTGTGTGATGTTGCTTATAACAATATCTTTGTGTATTTTTAAAATTTAATTGATGTCCAATATGCATTAACATTATATTCTTATTATAAACTAAAATAAATTTTGTGTTATTAAATTTCTTATCAATTTTATTTTTTTATATTTACATAAATCACATGTTAATTTTATGTAATAATTTTTAATAATTATAGTTTAATTTAATTATTTAATAACTATTTGTTTATTTCTATTTTAAAAAATTCAATACCACATAACTTTGTACTATTTTAGTTTTGAATTCAAGTTTTCATTTATATTAATAAAACATATTTTCTAATTTTTAAAAAATTAAAAATGAAAAATATTTTCTGAAAACAAAATAGAAATATTTTCTAGAAGGTCCTAACTTTCTCTACTAAAAAATCTTTATAGATTATTATGTCAGAATATCAAACAATTAAAAATATATTATATTTCAAGGGTATTTGTATGTCATTTTAGCGTCCGGATTTTACCTCTCAACTCGTAAGAGAAATTAAAATAATACAATAAAAGTACAATAATTAAATTCACAAATTTCACATTATATAAGGCTAATAAAATAATGAATATTTTTTAAAGTTAAAAGTCAATAAAGAAGAAAGAAATAGAAAATGATAAAGATAATGTCAAAATCTTCATTTGTATTTTAGTTGCCATTTTTCTAAGAATCAAACAAAAAGTTTATTTTTTTTGAACAAAAATATCATTATGACACAAAATTTGTACATGTAGGAACAGACGCATAATTTTATACTCAGGGTGAATCTCTAAATTTTAGAAGAGGCATTTATAAAATTTTAGAGGACGAAAATAAAATCTTCAATAAAAATATATAAAAAAACTCAAATATATGATAATTTTAAAATTCTAGAGGGTAACTGTCCCCCCCCACTCGCTTCAATCCATCCCTATTAACATAAATGAAATTGGATGATATTCATACATAAAACCCCTAAATTTAGAGACTCTGTAATGTATCGCAGAATAACCATACAATTAGATTGGTCTGCAATCTTTTGAAATCGAAAATGCATTTTTACAAAAGATAGAATGACATTATTTATAGGGCTGTGCAAATTAATTTGTAATTATTAACCGTAATCGTTAACTAGTGTAACTGTCACATTTTACAGGTTAATTAATTGACATATTAAGATTAATTGGTTATGGTTAACCAAACCATTAAAAATAAAGATTAATGGTTACGGTTATAGTTACAGATTTTAATAAATGGTTAATCATTATTAAATTATAAATATTTAAATTTTAAAGATCTATCTACAAATCCTAATAAAAATTGAAATTGATTTTATAATTAATTATATTTTCTTTAAAACAATTCTATTTCAATATTAATTAATTTAGGAGACTCGTTCTTTAATTTTTCTTTCTTAGTTTATTTGTTTCATATATATATATATATATAACAACCTATCATCCTAATTATTTATACCGATAAATTCAACTTGTAAATTGAGAGTTGTAAATTGAATTAAGGGTGCTGCAAATCGAGTTATAACTATTATAAACTGAGTCACGACTGTTGCAAATTGATTACAAGTGTTGCAAATCGAGTTACGACTACTACGAAAAGGGAAGATCAATATTTTAAACTACTTTATTATTATCAATGCTTTATTTTTAATTATTTATTTAACTTTAGAAATATATATTTTATATTTTGGTTGACAAGAAAAATAATAAAAATATATTTAAAAAATCCAACTTCAAGATTGATGAGAGAAATTCCATTTTGAAGGAAGCCAATGAAGACCTTCGGTATTGGTGATTTGATATTAGAGTTAATTTTTTGTTATAGAAGTTTCATTTACTTTATATTTGAGTTATTAGAGATTATGAATTATCGTGCTTATTTTATGTTTAGTAAAGATTTATCTTTGAAACTTTGATGGTATTTTGGACTATTATCAATTAATATGTACTTAAATTTATAATATAATTAATTATTTATTTTTTAAAAATAAATTAAGGACTAAACGATACAATTAACGGACTGAACGCCCTAGTTTATTTATATGAGAAGTTTTAATCCAAAGACAATTAATGGTTTCTAGTCGAGCCCGATAACCACCACAGCACGCCCACCGTTTCATTTCCTTCTGAGTTTTTAGTCTCATGATTGAGAATACATTAGAAAATATTCTTTCATGATATTGATTGGACATTTTTGGGTGGAATTCTGGAATTCTACCTATACTTCTCGATTTCTTTGTATTTAGTTCTTATATTTTTTGGATTACTCAATTTTAGTTTTGAGCCTAACACTTCTTGTCGTCCATGTTACAATGATGTGGATTTAATGTATTTATACCTCACTTTACTTTTGACACGATAATTTTATGTTAGACAGGAAATGTTCTTTTCCTTATAATTAATAATCTTATGTTTATTAAAGAGTGAAAAAAAAAAGTCTTCTTTGTCGAAGCATTTATATAGATTCTTCTATCAGAATCCCCAACAATTGAAAATCTATTATATTTCAAGGGTGTTTTTGACGTTTTAGCCTCCAAATTTATCTCCCAACTCTTAAGTGGGACTAAAATAACCAAATACAATGATTAAGTTCACAATTGTCACACCATACAAAGGCTAATAAAATAATATGATGTATTTTTTTTAAGTTGAGATGGACAAGGAAGAATGAAAAAGAGTGAATGGGGATTTTTTTTTAAATTCTGTAACAATATATTTCTTTTATTTTATATAATAATTTATTAAAATAAAATAACTGGTTAAAATGTTAATTAAAATTGATTTAGCGATTCAAATTGTATGATGGTTAAAATTTTTGTAAAAATATGAGCATTCAAACATTTTGTATATATTTCACTTCATTTAGGAAAAATTTCTAAATTCTACTATTGTCGGGTTTATTGGATCACAAATTGGTTTACCTACAAAGTTGGTTCACAGTGTGAACATTTTTTCCACGAATTTTGTTTCCCGCTTCATTGATAGTGCAAGCTACCATGAAAAGAAGAAAGGAATCAGCATTAACATCAAGGGGGTGTTTGGTTCATGGATTTTTGAATTCCTGGCAGTAATATTTTTTTCCAGGTTAAAGATATCCATGTTTGGATGGATCACATTCCCAAGTGAGGGTAAAAGGTCAATACCAACAATGTTTTTTGGGTCTAAATAACTGGGAACATGATTCCCACATCTCACCTAGGTATTGCTTTATTCACGTACTTAATGGGCTAAAATACTCTTCTCCCCGTTTGCTTGCTTCTGCGAAGGAAAAAATCATCTTCTTCGATTTGGCGAGAAAAGCTCACAGATTACACACATATATAAACTGCAGCAACTCTAGAGTGAGACGGTCGAGCCAAACCCTAATATCCCAATAAGTATAGGCGCCTTCATTCTTACTATATGGAGTTCTTAAGATTTTCCGTACGTTTGTTGTGCAATTTAAACATTTGTTTTGGTCTTTCGTAATTGTAAAGGTAAGAAGAAGGAAAGGAGAGATGGCGGTGCCGCTTCTAAGTAAGAAAATCGTGAAGAAGAGGGTCAAGAAGTTCAAGAGACCCCAGAGTGACCGCAAAATCTCATTTACGGTAACTTCAAAATCTTCTATTTCCATTCATCTTTTACTTCATTTCAAAAGTTCGATCTAAACCATCCTTTTGTGTAGTCTGATTTGAATTTTAGTCAACGTGCACAGAGAAGTAAATATTTGACACTGAGTTGTAAGATGTGGAGTCAGTATCATTCGTCTATTTGATCCATTTATTATGGTTGAGATTATTGTGACCAATACGAAAGTAAATATTCTAAGTGAGAAACTTGTTTGACTTATTGTGAATGTGTTGTTATAGACAAACTGGCATAGACCAAAGGGTATTGATTCTTGTGTAAGAAAATTTAAGGGATGCACTTTGATGCCCAACATTGGCTATGGTTCAGACAAGAAGACACGACATTATCTCCCAAATGGCTTTAAGAAGTTTATTGTGCACAATGTTGGAGAACTTGAACTTTTGATGATGCACAACAGGTAATCTAATGCATATTGCGTTTTATGCAACCGTTTAATGTATATACAATTTATGTTTGTGTTCTTATTTCACTTTTTGTTGCTTTTCAGGACATATTGTGCTGAAATTGTCCATGATGTTTCGACAAAGAAGAGAAAAGAGATCATTGAACGGGCAGTACAGCTTGTAAGAATGGATGCTCAACCAAATCTTTTGAATTTTAGAGGATACAATAATTTATAACTGCTCATGTCACGATTCTATGCTGTGAAACTTTGCTGAAATAGACACAGGTGCCTCCGAGATCACTTATGCATTAAGCACTTCCGGTAATACAAATTTTGGTAAGAGAGAAAAGTGGAAGGTCTTTGTTTTGTGACCATAAGCCTATAAAGTTGAACCTTTAGTTCAAATTCTAGAACCGCTTCAACTCAAAAGGAGGTTTACTTGGTGCTTGGGGTGTTGGTTTTGAGTTATATCAAGGTTGAGATGTTAGTCCTTGATTTGACTTTGGGTAGCAAGCAATGGCCATTTTGGACTCCAAACAAAGAAAACTGAATTTAATGGAAAATTGTAGGACGAGTTGTTTTTAACTTGTAGTATGTAGAGTTAATCAAATTTTATGTACTTTTGACATCTTTAAGTAATTAGATGGCAATCCTCATAATAAGGCTAGAAAAGCAATGCATAAGCTACCAGAAATAGGGGTCTTAATTTTTTCCATATTGATGGCTTGATTGCGGCGGAAGGAGAAAATTAAGATGATAAGATATCTAAGAATCACTTGAATTAAGTTTTGATTTTTTTTGGATAATTATTAAAAGTACACATTAATTTTGTTAAATGCGTAAGTAATACATAAATATTAATTATGTACCAAAAAAATACATAAATATTAATTTATAATTTTATATAATACATATAATTTTGATTTTTGTTTAATTGTATATATAAAATTTTAATTTAAGTATACACATTTAAAAAGTAAATGCATTCATTTATAATAAAGTCATCTTTTTACATTTTGGTATGAGTAAAATGGTTCATCTATTAAAATGTTCATATGCTTATTTAGTTAAATGTTGATGTAAAATTTTAATATATTTTTAGATAAATTATGTAAAATTTATTACTAATTAAAATTAAAATAATACATGATATATCTACTCTTTTATTCTATCCATTTATCTTTTAAATTTTATAAAAAATTATATATAAATTTTATTTAAAAGTATATATATTAAAAATAATAAAGTAATATATTCTCGATGAATTTTTATATAATATATTCATTTAAATATTTAGAATTTCACTTGTTAATAAATATAGAACAAGGACAATTTCATAAAATATACATTCCAGTAATCTTTTATTTCTTCAACCAAACACTGTAATGTTACATTCCTGCCAAACAAATCAAATACAGTAATGTAATATTCCCAGTAATGTGTTAGGTAATGTTACATTCCGGTAATCCTATTCCCGGAGGTAATCTTACATTCCGTGAACCAAACGCACCCCAAAGGTTGATGAATTTCCTATGGATATCTCGAGTTAAATCTTCAATAGGTTAAGTTTCAATGATCTTCTTCAAGCCAAATCTGTTTGTCTTTCATGGAACTTACGTAGAGACGAGCTGATTTCAAATTAAGATGCCATATCTCATGCTCCTTCCAAGAAACATGTCGAAGAAGGAGATAGAATTGTCGTTAACAACAATGGCTACCGTGGGTTTTTGAATCTTAGGGAAGATATTCTTTATAGCTTGAAAATGGTGCCAAAAGGGTTCAGTGAATGTTGCCACACATCTTCGTCACATGGATAGTTGGTTTTCTCGCAAGACAAGGCAGTCTTGTTTCTGTTTAACCCTTTCAAAGAAGTGAAGATCGGACTCCATTCTGTTTATCGTATGCTAGGATTGAAAAATGATGGTAAGAAACATTGATGGTGAATTCAAGCTTAATTGTTTCAACATTGAAAAAGGATCTCCTAGGTTTTTGTTTAAGTTGTCTCGGTGTCAACTAAATGTTTTCTGAACGGCAAAAAGGACTGCATTTATTTTAGTAATGATTTTTTTTTTAGAAAATGGAACAAGATTACTTGTACGGAGGGTATGATACCCAGGGTCGTATATGGGTCAGGGCAAGAGAGACACTTACTAGTGTTTATTTTGTGTTACATTTTGTGCTTAAATGTTCTTTGATTGTTCATGTTTACTACTAAATTGTATGTTTTTTATATGCTTTTTGTGATGGTCAATAACTTCTGGAAAATGTGGTTAAAAAAGTCGAAAACTTCAATTTTTTGTTCTGGAATTAGGAATGGTAATGGGCCACATATGGAACAGATCTAGTTAGACCCGGATCTAGACCCATTTTCACATCTTGGATCCAGACCCGCCTTAGATCCACGGGTCTAGAAAATTGGAACCCAAATCCAGATCCAACGGATCTCACGGTTCCAGGTCCAAAATGGGTCTAAAACAGGTCTGTTAAAGAAACGACCATTTGACCTATTTTTTTAACGTAACAAAACTGTCATTGACTAATTTGTCATCACATTTCCAATGGAAGAAAGATTAATTTCAATACAACTAGTAGCAAAATAAAAAACGATAAACTAAAGTCTAAAAAAACTCCAACACAATTACACAAAACGTCTTTTGAATAACACAAACATTAAAAAATATAGATCATGAAACATTATATTGTCTCAAGCCAAATACCGCAATTCTTCCTCCTTTGAGTGCTAGTCTTGATCACTACTTAAATCATCAACATCCTAAAACAAACAACCAACCAAAGAGAAATTTGTTTAATGAAAATAATATTTGTGAAATTTAACTATTAATACTAAGATTATATATATATATATATATATTAAATATTAATATTAAGGTTATGTAATATTAATACTTGTGAAATTTAAATATTAATTTAAAACTAAATGTGGGTTTTTTTATAAAAGGGTATGTTGACACCCGTTTTCATCCCGTTTTTATTATTATGTTTTTATTAATATTATTATTAATTTTATTATTTTTACAGACCCAACAGTAACGAATTGGGCCCAAATACAATCTGCCCCAAGTGACCTAGCGAGCCTAGATCAAAGCCCAACTCTCAGGCTCAAACAGAAACCAAGACCCGGGTCCAAATTGATCCAGACCCGAGCCCATTTTAAAACCTTAACCAGTTAGGGTTTCTAACCCTAGTCTTCTAAAAACACCTCCACTGCCAAAGGAAAGGAAGGATGCGCTGCCACCATCGACTGAAGCCACGCGAGCCACAACCGATCACTCCCCATGCCGGCATCATCAGTAACAGACCCTAAACAGTGAGCACAAACAGCTCAATAAGTAAAAAAATGCACCAAATCCAACCTAAACTATAAACCCATTAAAAATGGGCAATATCCCGATTTTTCGGGATTTTACCTACCGAAAATCAGAGGAACAATGCCTTACTTATAGATTCATGATTTCCTACCTAGAAACAACAATAAAATCGACCATGCAACATATATTTAGGGGGAGATCAATTCGGGTTTGGAGATGAAAAAAGGATAAAAATGAGTGAGAAAAAGAAAAAAAGAGAAGAACGGTTTCGGAGCTAAAAAAAGAGAGGGAAAGATAAAAATCGAGAGAGAAAATAAACGAAGAAAGAAAATGGAAATCTTACCTCGGTCGTCAGCTCACCGACGACAAGAGAACTTGCTGAGCAACAAAAGGTGACCCTTTTATTTTTTAGGCTTCATTTTGGGAGAGTTTTAAGGTGTAAGGGCTTCGATTTAGGGGTCAAGGAAATCAGGGGGTATTGTTTTGGGTGTTATAGTTCCTTGTGGCCACCGATTTGGGGTGGTCAGTCTATGGGTGGCTTCTTAGGCGACGGGTAGGGAAAAGAAAATGAGAGTTTTCATGTTAGGGTTAAGGAAAGGAAAAGAAAAATGAGAGAAATATGAGGGTAGGCCGAACGGCTAGAGAAGAAAAATGAGGGAGTTGGGTTAGCTAAAACCCTATAATAGGTTATTTATAAGGCCCTTAAAATGATATAGTTTTAGGGTTTAGGGTTTTATCGATTTCACGCATGGGTAAACCACGTGGGGAGTCATTTCAGGTTTTAAAAAGTTCAATTTAGTCACTGAACAAGAGTTTTCAATTTTATGTTTTAAGCTCTTTATTTTAACAGATTTATGTTTTAGTTATTGTATGTATAGTTGATGTTATTTGGGTAAATTATTCGAATGATTCTTCGAATCTGTGAAGTTGTAATTTTAATCCATTGTAATATGTTATGAAAGTTTCTGATTTTGACCCTATGTTCAGTGCGCGTTACAGTTTGCTCACCATAAGCTATGTACTTTTGATTGTTTTAATTTTTGGCATGTAATATTGAATTATTTCATTTTGGTCCCTAACGTATGGGTTTATTACACTGTTAGTACTTGTAATATTTGATTATTGTATTATATGCTTTATTATTTAGTTAATTTGTAATAGTTGCCTTAATCTCCTATTAGTTTTATAGTTTAATCCCTAAAGTTATAATATTTATTATTTTGATCCATCATTTACATATTTGTTAATTTCTTGTTAGTTGAAATATTTTCAAATATTATTTAACTCAAGGAATTTATAGAAATGTGTCTTAACTAACAAGGAATGTGTTTCTAATAATTGTTCGAACAAAATAATATATTTTATATTCGAATGAATTTTTTAATATATTTAATATATGTATTTTATCTAAAAATTTAGGCAATATTATTTTATAAGGAGAATCCATGGAAATACCCCTTAACTAACAATAAAAGTATTTTCGAGAATTGTTCGTACAAAATAATACCCCTTTTATTTTTTCTCAAAAAGGATCACAATTTAAATGTATATTCGAATTTACCAATTTCAATATTTAGATGACATATAATCACTTAGGTACCGATTTCGGGCGTTGTGAGGGGGTACTAATCCTTCCCCACGAGTAATCGACTCCCGAACCATTTTCAAAACGGATTTCTAGTTAAATACAGAATAATATTTTTATCTTTTGAAATTATTTTTCTTAAAATTATTTTAAAAGGTATTTTTAGGTATTCGACCTACCTAATTCAAAGGTAGATGGATACTCCAAAACTATTTATTTGTTTTTTTATTTTAAAACCCAATATTTTCCAAGATTAAGTTGGATCGCTCCCCTCTATAGCCCCAAAAAGCTCAAGGATCGTTCCGATAACTTGGCAACTCC